TGTAGTTCCTTCTTCTTTCTCTCCAGGAGCCGATGTTGTTCCTTCTTCTTTCTCTCCAGGAGCCGATGTAGTTCCTTCTTTTTCTCCACCAGGAGCCGATGTAGATCCTTCTTTCTCTCCTTTTGGTGCTGATGTAGTTCCTTCTCCCTCTCCTTCAGGTGCTGATGTAGTTCCTTCTTCTTCTTTTCCAGGAACCGATGTAGTTCCTTTTTCTACTTCTCCTGGAGCCGATGTAGTTCCTTCCTCTTCCTCTCCTGGAGCCAATGTAGTTCCTTCTTCTCCTCCACCAGGAGCCGATGTAGTTCCTTTTTCCTCTCCTTCAGGTGCTGATGTAGTCTCTTCTTTAGGAGCCGATGTAGCTCCTTCTTTTTCTGCTCCTGGAGCTACTGTAGTTCCTTCTTCCTCTCCTGGAGCTGATGTAGTTCCTTCTCCTTCTCTACCTGGAGCTGATGTAGTTCCTTCTTCTCCTCCACCAGGAGCCGATGTAGTTCCTTCTTCTTCTCCTTCAGGTGCTGATGTAGTTCCTTCTTCTTCTCCAAGAGCCGAAGTAGTTCCTTCTTCCTCTTTAGGAGCCGATGTAGTTCCTTCTTCTTGTCCTCCAGGCGCCGACGTTGTTCCTCCTTCTCCCCCTCCTTCTCCTTTGAAAAGGGACAGAAAATAAAGTTGACATCAAAAGGGGTTCTTAAAAACATCGAGTTAAAAACCGAAGGATATCCTATCTTACCGTATTGAAAATGTGGTATGCAGAGAAATTCACAATCTTTTACTCTAACGTCCTCGTCACCAGTCGTCCAAAATTATTATTCAATTGAAAGTTTTGGTAAAATAAAGTCGTAACATGTATAATATGTTTCATTTCTTACCACTCGGTTCTTTGGTGGTGAATTTTATCTGACCTTGTCCTTAATACGGAAAAAAGAAACGGAGGAGCAAAAGGTTAGTGTCAGGGTGTTGTAAAGCAGGGTCTTCCATTCTTGGATTGGTTCAGCCCTAAAGTGGTTTAGTCTCATTTCCTCAAACACTTATGGTAAGTAGTCGCAAAATAATAGCAAAATACACTAACCACTTGCAGTGGCTACTATTGGTATAAATAAGATTGTTGCCACATGTCTGATTTAAAGTCCACTTTCGCTTTTATAAAAATTCAGTGTGGAAAGAAAGATGTTCGTGTGAAAGTCAAGGGAATAGACCTCATATGCTTTATTGTTCATTCTCCAGAGCCTGATAAGGTCTATTGTTCTTCGCTGAATTTAAAAATAACAACATTTGAGCTTTGGCAAAGTAAGGCACAATAATTACTAGGCGTATAAACTCACCACCGGGGGTAGTTCCTTCTGGTTCTGGAAAAAAGGAAACAAACAGGTTGTACATTCAATTTATCAATTTATCTCATTTAGAAGAGATACCTTATGTTTTTATAATTGCTTACCTACCACTTTTAGTGATCATTTTTTTTCAGAAAATGACAAAAAGACATTTCTATTAGATAAAGTGCGGTAACACTGCTGTCAAATGATTCAGCCCTAGTCGCAAGTTTTTTTAGTCATTGTTCGAGGAGTTTGAATTATGCCCGCCCAACAACATACTTGTTCATTTTTCGCTTTGTTCAACTGATTCGCTTCATCTGTGTTTATCTGTTCCTATCTATCTCAATTCTAATGTGGGTAGCTGGCGATTTGAAGACTCCTCATAGGTAACTCAGCCCATTTTCTTTTCTCTTTGTTTTTGTCTCATTTTCTCAGGCGCCTAATAACTGTTTTATGACTGGTTCAAAATTCTGTCGTTAGAGTGATATGAATCAGACTATTGCCAAACCAAAACTTCGCAAACTACAAAATACAAAAATTGTATATAAATCCCGATGTGACTTACCAGTTGGAACAGTATGTCCTGGCGCTAGAAGAGAAAAAAGTAACTCATGACTGAGAAAAAGAACACGTCAATACGTTTGAATTCGCCAAATTCACGTTTTGTCATAAAAATAACCTGTTGCCCCCATTGCTTCTCAATTTTTTTTAACAATAGCTAAATTCACCGCGATGGTAAACCAGAATAGCTTTTAATTATCGAACGCATTTGCGTCGTACAAATCTCAAGCAATATACAATTCTCTACCGAGGTCTTAAAATTTGGAACTGTCTTTCTGTTTCTGTCTCTCGGTCGTCAAATGCTCTTAGCTTCAAGACGAAAATGCAAGAGTTTTTTACCTAACTATTCACTGAATTGGCCAAGCTGCACTTTCGCAGCACTCATTCTTTTAAATATATTTTTGTAAGTGAGGTGATCTCTCCCATAAGCCCGGTGGCTCCTTGGATCTACTCGCCGATAAATCATAACGCTGTAGATAATTTTTTTGTATCTTAAAAAAGGAAAATGAAATCATGATGATGAAGAATGTAGTGATCTCTATGTTAGATGAAGTAGTTTTCAGAAAGATTACATAGTAAACGTTTGCATGTTTACAGTTATTGACCATTCACACTGGTTTTCTCTAAATATGTTTGCATCGTTTGAATTGTTTTTACTGAGACCTACCAGCAGTTGAGGACTCCTCCACCACTTCAATGCCAATGGTACCAGTTGCTTCTGTAAAAGTTTTTTAAAATAATAGAGGACGTCAGAGATGACTCATTTAAACGGTTAATGGAGGGATAGTCTTTGGGAGAGTATACCCGAACGAGATCAAAGGTGATGCCTAGAAGGCAAAAAGCTCTTCAGTTGAGGGTAAAGGAGTCATAGCTACCGTAGATTGCAGATCGGCGGATTTAGCTTCACTTGAATTGTAATCATATTAGACTATTGAGATCAATGAAGACCTGAAGCAAGTAAAAACGAGGACCAAATCGATTATGCCAAGCCACTAACTATGAGAATTTCAAGAATCGATCGAAATCTCCAACCAGAAAAGATAGAAAATTCTATGCACGGCAGTGATATAGAACTTACACCTAACGAAGTTTTTACATTCAAGAGGACTTACCAATTGGGTTGGTTATTGTTGCTGAAAAAGAAGAGAATTGAAATCAAAGGGAATTCTGACTGGCAGTAACGTGAAGTTGGGGTCTTTCTTACAGCAAATATAGATTTCCTTACGATTTCATGAAAGAGATTTTGTCGTTTCATAATAATTTCACGGATTCACGAAAGAATTAATTTATAATTAGGGCGAACTTTAAGATACCTTTGATTCAAAAGGAAGTTTCTAGCTTCTGCGTTTATTGTATGACTGCCACAAAATGAAGTGTTTCAACTCAATATGAAGATGAGAAAAATAATTAACCTACCGGCTGTGGTGGATCCTTCTTTAACTTCAATATGGATTGTACCTACCACGAATGAAGTGGAATTGTTAGACTATAACTGCTATAGTCAAGAGAGCTCTTAGGCGAAGGGGGAGGGGAACACACCCTTTTTGGTCTTAACGAGAATGTGCTTCTAAACTGGGTAAGATTTTTGGGATGTTTTGACGGGTAATGTAAATCTTTTGCTGAGCATCTTGGAAAGGGTATCTTTCTGGACCCAGCATAGTCTTGCGTTATTCACGACTGTTAATAGGGAAGTCCTGTATTTATAGAAAAAAAAAACCTGCGTGATATTTACTTTGAGGTTTCCAATCACAGTTCAGTTACATTTACAAAACGTCGTAATTAGACAGTTAAACCATGCAATCACGTGACAAATCGACGCTTGCAGTGCCGATCAGAATTCATAAATTTGGTTAGAAATAAAATTGTGAATATAAAAAGTATGTCCTACCAGTTTGCGTCGCCTTTGTCCCTGGTCCTTCTGTAGATCAGACAAAACAAGTGAAATTAACGAAACTTTAATGTAAAATGACAAAGGACGCCATAACCCCAGTGGGATTTTTTCTTAATGAAAAAAAAAGTTTTTTGGGATGTTTAACTACATGATCTTGAATTAGCTATGCATATAATTGTAGGTATGGCTTGGTGATAGAACAGTTTTCAACTTAGTGTCGATTGCCGTCGGTCTGACAGAAATTTTGTCAGCTGTTTGTCTTGTCAGTCAGATAATTGGTCCGTCAGCCATTCGGTGAGACAATCAGTCAGTCAACGTGGCAGTTAGTCAGTCACTCAGTCAGTCATTCCGCTGATAAGCCAATCATCTATTTGGACAGTCAGCCAATCATTTCGCCAGTTCATCAGTTGGAAAGTCCGTCTGACTATCAGTCAGCTCGTCATTCAGTTATTCATTTTATTTAATTGTTGAGTCGATTACTAAGAGATTATAAACAATATCGGTTAGTTTGTTAGCTGGCGAGTAAGTCCACCAGAATTCCGTCAGTTAAGGCAGTTGATCAGCCGGTAATTCAGTCAGTTAGTCAGTGAGTCATTCAGTTAGTCAGTTATTTTTTTAGTCAGTTCATCGGCTGGTCTGGTCAAACACTTGGTCAGTCGGCTCTCGTATCTGGATCATTCATTCAATCAAGCAAGGGGTCAATCACATGCATTACTGCTATTTTAAATCTCTTCCTATGACTTACTCGTAGTGGGAGGACATTCACAAGGACATGGTTTCACAAAGCATTTCATATAATCTATGTATTCTCCAGGTGTAGGGCAATCCTCCACGATACATTCACGGTATCTCGTCATGAATCCCTCCCCTTCTTGTACACTGCACGCGCTCCAATCACTCCAAGGACCATATGCCTCACCGTTCACCCTCCAGTTGGCTTCGAGTCAGGAAGAAAAATGGATGCATGTTGTTAGAAAGAATAGTAGGCTTTTGTTCCTTTTTTTCTTCA